CCCCCCCCCCCGAGTTTCTGGAAAGTAAAGACCCCTGTTCCAAACAGCTTTGTTATTACTGTGTCCAAAATACGTTCGTGCCTTTCTCAAGTTCATGCAAACACATACCGTGTCCACACAGGCACCCTCATAACAAGACTGTTCCATTTCATATTCAAGTTATACACGCAGAAGCGAATCACAAGAGATTCTCACAAAAATGCGCTCAGGTCCACGCTCAGGATTCTGCACACTCCCCACAAAGATGGATCCATCGCCCACAGCTAGAGACGCGCTCACAAATCCCACTCAAAATCCGGCAGCCCGACGACAGATCACAAGCTGCGCACGGTGCCCAGGCCAGGCATCACCACCGGCTCCAGCTTGGGCAGCGGCCTTGTTTTTACTTCCTTTGAGTTGGTTCTATTTTAGTTGTTGTTTGTGTTGTTCTTCTTAGAGTTATCATCTGCCCCCTTTTCTCCCTACCCAGCCCCCAAGCCCCCGCTCCTACCCCCATTGCGCATGCGTCCTGCATCCCTCCGCCTTCTGGGTACCAGTCCGCGCTCCCCGGCCCTGGCGGCGGAAGAGATGGAGCAGCGTCACGAGCGCCCGGCCCCTTAAAACGCTGCTGGCTGGAGCCGCCTCCCTCCCTGCAGCCCGCGGCGGGGATGGAGTAAAGGGGGACCCGTCGACCTGCCCGCGGGGATCAGCGATGGAGTTAAAGCAATCTTTGTCCACCCATCTGGAAACCGAGAAGCCTTTGAGGCGCTATGGGGCGGTGGAGCAGACGGCGTGGACCGCGGAGGGACTGGGGAGAAGTGAGTACTCGGCTGGAAGGGGGGCACAGTTGGGGAGCCGTGCGCCGGCGCTGGGGGTCGCGGGGGCGCGGGGAGGGCAGGGAGCGGACCAAGGGGAGCGCCCCCGCAGCGGGGCTTTCGGCGCGGGGGGCGGGGGGCGGTGGGATGCGCAGCGCGGCGCAGCGACGCGCTCTCCCGCGAACAAAAGGGGGACCCTCCGGCTGGGGCTTCACCGGGAGGCTCGGGAAATCGCGAGGCAGCAAGCCGGGAGCCTGGGGTGGACTCGGTAGTCCCGGATCCGTTAGCTCGCAGCTGGTCTTGGAAAGTAGGATCTTATCCGCAGCCGAGAGAGGAGAGTCGGTTCCCCGCCCAGGATGCGCCAGGACGCTGGTAGCCGTTGGACCAACCTGGAAAGCGCCCACGTCCCTGGAGAGGGGGGAGTGTCCGCTGGGTTTCTGCCGTGTTTCTCCCCCACCCCGGCGCGAGGTTCAGGGCACAGCTGAAATTCCCAGCGTTTATTCCCCCGCCTTGTCCTGGGTCGCGGATGGGAGGGAAAGGGTTAGGGGAAGGTTAACCCTGTGCACATCCTTCCCCTTTCCCCTTTGACTCATTCAGTCTTTGGGTACAATCCTAGAAGGCGCTTCTGAAACGGGCCGATATTATTTGCTGAGTCTCCCCACGGTGTTTTGGTGTCAACAACGTCTACAAACAAGCGAAGGGTGTTTTGTTTTTAATTAATAGGACGCAGTGGTTGAAACTCCTGCGTTCAAAGTATACAGGCAGCCGCAAGGGCTCCAGGGTCACCAGCCCTCCCTGCAAACCCGGGGCTCTTCCCGGTGCCCCTGCCCTTGCCTTGCTTGCCCAGCATGGTGCCTCCTGCCGGGCATGGAAGGGCTTCTCACCCTTCTCAAGGACCCTCAGCTTCCTGCTTTGGATCTGGGTAACCATGCTCAGCTGTGTTGGACCAAAGTATTGTGAATGTGCTCTTTTTTTTTTTTTTGACCGGGTAGAAGATCGTGTGTGTGTGTGTGTGTGTGTGTGTGTGTGTGTGTGCCCTTTCTCCATACCTGTCATTACAAATTCAGAAAATCTTCCTAGAATGGCTCAACTGTATTCTGGTTCTCAAGGGTTCAAGTTGAAATCACAGTCAAATGTCTTGCTGCACCTGGAACCCATAGTGTCCCAACCTCTTTCCTTTTCTTGCTCCTTTTAAAATCTGGGTCCTTCCTCCTGTTTCGGGCTTTGAAAACCCTTTGGCTTTGGTGCTTTGGCATGACACCAAGGCTGAGGGTCTCTGCCTCCTACAAGCTCAGGATAATTCCCACAATGGCTGCCTTTTATTGATAGATTGCCATGCAAGAACTTTAAAGGCACCGTCTCATTCAATCCCCCAACAGCCTCCTGAGGTGACTATTATAACTTCCCTTCCATAGACGGAAAAACTGGGGCTTGTGAGGTGCTGTGACATTTAGACTTCAGAGCCAGGATCTGAACCCAGCTTTGTCAGACCCCAGAGCCCCTTTCTGCTTTTCACATGAGGGTTTATTGCTTTCCCAGTTTCGGGAAGATTTCTACATCTGTTGAGAGAGTCCCAGAACATATACAGTGATTTTACGAATATGTGGCCACCCTGTTGGTCTCTGGAGCTCTCAGTGGCCTTGAAAGAATGCCGGGTCCTTGCAGAGTAGAAGCTGTATTCAAATAAGCCCTGTGTTTGAATGCTGGCTCTGCCCCTGCTTGGCTATGTGAGTTTAGGCAGCCTTACTAAGCCTTACTCTGCCTCTGTTCTCTGCAATGGAGATGATAATAATACCTACTTTATAGCTGAATTGTGAATACTCAAGAAGATGTATGTAGCGCTCAAGGTAAGTGCTCAATACATGTTGGTTCCTCCGATTATTTTATTACTGCATCTGTAGAAAGCTCCTGCTTTCATTCTTTGCAAGGAACTCCACAGAGCAGCACTCTGAACTCAAACTGCCGTGTCGGTCAGTTGCCTAATAATTCTCTTACAGCTTTTTATTTTCTCACTGTCTTACTGGGACAGTTTTCAAATGTACAGAAAAATTGCACTGAATCCCCAATTGATAGCATGTTAGCTCCTGAAATTTTTATCCTTCTGAATCTTAGGCTGCAAACTGTTAACAGCTGGGCAGAAAGGCTTTCTCATCTCCTGTGTTCCAAGCCATCAAAGACTCTGACTTTTGCTTCCTATTCACATACAAACCACAGTATCTCATCTCCTTTTCCCTGGATCCCCAAATCTGCTTCCTCCCGCCCTACCTATCCAAACTTGAAATCTTCTTAAGACACTGATCCAGGGTCCCCATTTTGATTCTTAAATCTGGGATCGTTACCTTTAAAGAGTTTTGATCTCTGAACCTTTTTTGATCCAAGTAGCTTTTTTTTTTT